AAAAAAAGAAATGTACTCATTACCTTGCCCATGTAACTGTAACCCCTCTGTACAGTATTTTCACAATAAAAAACAAAAAAACAAAACAAATACTGTGCTATGTGACCATTTGAATCCTTTATAAAAGAAGAAAAAAAGAATGAGGAGAACACTTAGGAACCAATGAAGGGGTGACAGGACAGCTGAAAAACATGGCAAGATACAAAGGTGACAGACAAAAATAGGAAAAAGTCTGCAACTCCAATTGTGAGTCCCTTGGGTGCAAGCACCACTGAGGACCCAGAGACCAAAAGACAGGGTATACCAGATGGCTGAGGCAATTCTAGCTGACTGGTAATGCTAGGATGTGGGGTGATCCTACAGGTTCTACAAGCTGTCAGGATTTCATGTGCATGGTGACTATTCCTGTGTGGCAAGGGCTTTGGAGAAGAAAAACATTTTTGTTTTTTTTGCCAGTCCTGGGGACTGAACTCAGGGCCTGGGCACCGTCCCGAACTTCTTTTGCTCAAGGCCAGCACTCTACTATTTGAGCCACAGCACAACTTACAGCTTTTTCTGTGTATATGGTACTGAGAAATCAAATCCAGGGCTTCATGCATGCTAGGCAAGCACTGTACCACTAAGCCACATTCCCAGCCCAAGAAAAACATTTTGTTTCTTCCCTTATCTCGGAAAGGTCTACTGACGGGTCCATTGAGAGCAGGCCTATTGTTTGAGACCAACCTTGAAAACAAGGAACAATCCCAGTGTGAGGAGGCCTGGGACACTTTGCCACAATATTTGGGTAAGAGAATGCCATAAGAAAAGAGGGTCTGATGAATGTTGCTGAGAAGTTTAAGCAGTGAGGAGCTTGGACAATAAAAGGTGCAGTGATCAGAGCCTCTGCCCTTCCTGGTGAGGAACAAGTTCCATAGCCAGGGAAATAGAAGAGTGAGAGCATGGGTGGGGAAGCACTCAATCTTTGAGACTGTCTCCCTCCTCCCTTTGGCCATGAATGTTTGCTGCCAGGCACAACCGAAAGCTCTGAACCTAGGTTTGATGTAATTTCCCTGAACTTGTTGCCCGTCATATAGTGTGAGCAACGGAGGGACAAAGGTCCGAAAGTATGGAACCAGACTCCTCTCGGAGCTGCATCCCAGCTGCCTGTGTTAACAGGTAGGATGGAGAACTCTGAGATCAATTATCCCTCTACTTCTGCCCACAGCATGGTGATCTGCTGGGTGGGGTCTTAAAAACACTGAATCGGATAGCCTAAGTCTCTTTGTCCCTCAATTCTCCTATCAGGGCACAAATCAGCGTTCTCTCAATTTTCTGATGCATTTGGGTCCATCCCTGGGCTCAGATGTTTGCATCCTCTAGGAGACACACGCTGGGGGACTTGTAGAGCAAGTGGCAGTTTGCCAGGCCCACAAGCTACAAAGCTCCTTGTGGCCAGCAGTAGCTTCTGGGTACACAAAGAAATGATACTTCTAAGGTGAAAGCAGGGCTGGGAATGTGGCTTAGTGGTACAGTGCTTGCCTAGCATGCATGAAGCCCTGAGTTCGATTCCTCAGTACCACATAAACAGAAAGAGCCAGAAGTGGCACTGTGGATCAAGTGGTAGAGTGCTAGCCTTGAGCAAAAGAAGCTCAGGCACAGTGCAGAAGACAATCAACCTTCAAGTGGCCCAACTATTAACCAGCAAATATGAGAACCTGATGAACAAGATGTATAAGACATTCCATCCAGTGTTCCTCCGCCTGGGTGGTGCTAGGGGTCAGACAGAGCATCCTTAACGTACTGTAGGTAATGAACTGTA